ACAATAGTGAATAATTGTTATCAGGACTGATTGTGAGGGTTGGAAATGTAAAGGTAGACATTTTGTAGCAAAAGGAGGGGAGTGATTGACTTTGCAGTCTAGGAGCAGTGATCTCTGGGACCATAAAGGGAGAAGAGCAGAAAACGAGACCCTATCCAGAGAAGCAGTGACACCAGAGATGGAGGCAAAGACAATGACATAGAGAAATTGAGTGGATGCAGACTTTAGATCCAGAGAGGGAGAGGGGCTGTGTGCTGACAACTGGGGGGCAGGCTTGCAGGGTATACCCTTTGGTTGGTTGATGATGCATGCAGGGGATTGTAACCATGGCAATGAAACTATATATGCGATAGGATGAATGTAATGTTAATGTTCTCCCATGTAAACTATCACATAATTCACAATAAAACATTAAAAAAAAAGAAGTATGATTGCTACTAATTTTGTTACGTTTTATATTCTACTTAAAATGTTTGTTTAATTTTGAATAATTTATTTTGTGACTAATAAATTTTATAAGTTTTGTAACAGAGATAATATTTTTTTCATTGATTTCTTGGTACTTTTGTTATTATGTGGTCTTCATGTGGGGTGGTAGGATAGATACTGGAGTGCTAGCCATCAGGTGAGTTCAAACTCAACAGCTGCTCCCTGGAATCACTGTGTTCCTTGGTTGCTATGAGTCAGACTTAATTTGAAGGCACTTAACAATAATAACATTGGTATTGTTAGGAATCTTAAGTTTAAAAATATTTTCCTTTTGTTCAAAGTACAAAATTCTCTCATTTGTTCTCCAGTTTCCTATTTAAGTTTCTTGAGATTTTTGGATTAGTAAGGATATCCTCAGGGGATAAAGTTATGCCAAAATTAATCAGTTGTAAGGAATCATAAATTATAATACATGCCATTATTTTATGGACAACTAACTGAAAGAGAATGTTGCCTATTAAATTATGAATAATGCCAAATGGTATGCTATGGTGACATCAATTCACTTCAAAAAAGTTAAATGTGAATAAAACAAGATTTTATGATCACTCTTCACTTGTCTACATTGTTAGGTTTCAAAGACCAGGTCATTAAGTGAAAATCAGCATTATGCAAAATGGAGGATGAGCCCATCAGATCAAAAAATGGCAGATAACTACATTATTAAATAACTACCAATTACAGCATTATTGCTGTTGTTATTAAGTGCCATCAGGTGGCTTCCAACTTATTGGACCCTTTGATAGGGTTTCCAAGAGGCAGTTGGAACCTCCGACCTTGCAGCTCAAATCGACCTTGCAGTCCAGTGCTCAGCCTACAGTGCTACACCAGACCTCCACATACTGCCAAACTGCTGAGAATCATGGGCCAGACAAGTTGACACCTAACTTGAACCATCATGTTGCTGGTAGTTGTTGGAAAGTACCGTGGTGTCGTTCCGACTAATAGTGACCCTGCACAGGGTTTCTGAGCCTGTAAATCTTCGTGGGACCAGAAGCCCTCATCTTTGTCCCACGAAACTGAAGGTAATTTCAAACTCCTTACCTTGAGGTTGGCAGCCCGACTCGTAACCGCTATGCTAATCATCCTAGCCAACATAATTGTGACCTTGGTACTCAGTGTTCACTATTGTTATAATGTTTCACCATTAATATGAAGAATAGGCAAATAGTAGACTTTTCGTTATTATCATAAATGCAAAATGTCAGGTAACAAATAGTTGATAAATGAGGAGTAGGTGTAATTTCTTGCGGTAATTGTCATTTTATACTGACTATTTTTCTTATCTTTTTTTTTTTCATTTCCAGTGAAATACTAAATATTTATCTGCCTTTTTAGTCACATTCATTGGAATGGAACTTATTCTGTTGTGTAGGACTTTTGAAAGAATGGGATTTTCAATTCCTTTAATTGATTTAATTACTTTCTTTTTTTACCTCCAGTTCATTAACATTCCCACTTTTACTTTTCATTTTCTTTCACATTTATTAGAATAAGTTACTGTCTCTTGTTGTAGCTAACATTATTGTAAATAATAAATGCATTTGTTGTTGATGTTACGTGTCCTTGAGTCAGTTCTAACTCACAGCAACCCTACACAGTGCTCTGAAGCTAGGCTGCGGAGGTTGATCTGTTGCTCTTACGGTTCAAATTGACTTTGCAATCAAGCAATTAACCCATACTGCTACATCAGGACTTATTTAAGATTATCGAAATCTTTCTAATTATATATTTTTTCAGTGCTACAAATACTTGAAATATACCCTATTTTTTACATATAGCACCCATAGCGTGCGTAGGAAACTAGTGTGTGTAATTCATTACATTATAAATAGCAATTAGTTAGAAGGAATAGTTTAATTTACAATGATTATATTTGTGCCATTTTCCAACTTTTTACATCTCTTTGTTTATCTTATTATGAGAGATTTTATATTGCAAAGGTTAACTTGTGGTAAATGTATCAAATACACTTGAGAAATTACCCCATTATTTACAACCTTAAAAGCAGCAGACAATATTTTTCAAAAAAAAAAAAAAAAAAAATCTTTCTTTTAGAAATAATCCAAATTTCTATCATGAGTGCAATCATTTGACAGTTTTGACTTTGTGTTCTCCCTACGTTGATCGTGAGAGTTTAATCTGAAATCTCAGAGGACGGTAATAGAAACCCTTCACTCCAGTCTTATCCTTCAGTCTATCTTCTTCTGAGAAGCTGCACTCAATTTACAGACCATCACTCTCTTTTTAATTGCTTCATTCTTTCTGACACCTTTATTTACAACTTCCAAATGTTATAGATACAGATGCAAAAGAACACTTTACATTTATTCACCATTTCTATATTATTGTAATAGCAATAGTTCATGTTTCCTTGATTCTCTATGTTCTCAATACTGAATGTACAAATATTCTCTTTTTAAATTCATGTTCATATTTTAACGTTATTCCATTATTCATATTATTTAGAGTCTTTGCATAAAATTATTTTTATTTTATATGCTTGGATGTCATTGGCATTTTTAAAGTAAAACAATTGTTTTACCCTATATTTTCCCAACTAAAGTAATGGTATTATTTTTTCTTAAAATGTACTATTATGAAGTTGATTTAATTCCACAAAATGAGTTTTCAGAAACCTATTTACATATTGCCTTTATAAAGTGCAAATCTGTTTCAGATATTACTTTAGAAAACAAAGAGATTGGGATGATCACAGATCAAAGAAGCTATTTTGAAGAAATTATTGAGAAAATTCATGTACCTGAAGTGCAGATTTTTATTTTTTATTTTTTATGAAAAGGTAAATATAAACTTCAATGATAAAATGTCTGGGACCATTTATCTTTTCTTCTAAAATTAAAAATATATATATACAGCTTTTACTTTGCAGAGATCAATAAAAGTCTTTTAAATGAGTCCCTAAAAGCTTTCTTAACTTGATTGTTCCTGAGAGTATAGATAAATGGGTTCAATGTAGGTGAAACAGAAGAAATAAGCAGTGAAACCATTTTATTGACAGTCACTTCTTCCTTTGCTTTAGGATTCATGTAGATAAAAATACAGGTGCCATAGGTGATGGAAACCACAATCATGTGGGAAGAACAGGTTGAAAAGGCTTTTTTCCTTTGCTGAGCAGAGGGGAATCTGAATATGGTTCTGATGATGTTACCATATGACATAACTACACAAGTAAGAGTAATATTTAGGGTCAACACGGCACAGATATTAACTGTCTGTTCCACAATCCATGTGTCTGAACACGAGATTTTCACAATAGGAAATGCATCACAAATAAAGTGGTCAAGTACGTTAGAGTCACAAAATTCCAGATTTAAAACCAGGATAAGTGGTGGAATGATTACACATAAACCAGACATCCAACAACAGATAATGAGAATCCTACAGACTCCTCTGCTCATGATGGTCACATAATGCAAGGGCTTGCAGATGGCCACGTAGCGGTCATAGGACATGGCAGCCAGGAGGAAAAATTCTGTTACT